CAAGCAGGCTTTCTCCCCCTTTCTAAGTCATGTTTACAAGTAGTTGGGGGAAGCCCCAGCAATTTAGGTTGCACCGTGACACATGAGCCAAGATTGTACAAATGTCTAAAATAGTGGCACGCTTTTATAGAAATTGTCCAAGTATAAGTGGTACCCCTTGTGGAACAAAGACGACACCAAGTCCTATACTGCTCCCCAAGTAGTCTGGGCAGTCAAGGGGCTCCACTTCAGTCTCTTCACTCAAACCCTAAAATTGTATGTATAGCCTGTGGCCCTCTCACAGAGCTTATACAATTTGACCCCGTATCTGGCTCGCTTGCTACAGAGGTAATGTTTGAATGCAGGGCAGCCAGTCAAGTGAATGAGGGACTCATCCATGCAGATGTTTTGCTGTGGCGTATACGCATCTGCAAATTTCTCAGTGGAGGTAGTTTAGAAGGGGCCAAATTTTGTAGAGCCGGTCATGTTCAAGGTCACCCCGAGGATAACCGGGTGTTATCACTGAAATGCATGAAGCGCATTATCAGCTCATATCTACATTGGGCCATGGCAGCAGAGAACATGCGCATATGATGAATTGGGTCTGAGGACCAATAAGACCACAACTCATTCTTTTTTATAATGCCCATGTTGAGGGTTAGGCCCAAAAAAGTTTTAAGTTCGGAAACTGTATTAGGTTGCCATGCAAATGATCTGGCAAGAGCTGAATTTGGGTTGGTGGAGATATATTGTGTGTATAAATTGCTTTGGCCCACCACAATCAAAATTATACAAATCTATGAAAGACTGCTCCAAAAAAGAAAATCAAGGGGAGTAGTTAAAGTGTTACTAAACCCAGGACCCCGCATTCACTATATCTGGTCTCCCAAAGTACACAGAACATGGAAATGCAATTTTAGTAAATAAACTGCTAAATGCCTTTTCTCATCAGCAGGAGATAAAAAAGGGGGACACTGGAAGAAGGGGAGGATCAGAGAAGCAAGGATCAAACAGCATTTTTACACAATGCAGATGATTAGCCCTTAAGGTTCCACAGCGAGTAGAAAGCATGATTTACTGCATCTACAGACTGATTTTATGGTTGTGGGTTTAGGAACACTTTAAATTTGCTGTTTCCACCTGAATTCTAGGTTGGGCAGCAAATGAGGGAAGTATGGGTGCTGCAGAATCTGTGTGCTGCCAATCAGAATTTGCAAGCATGTCCAGAAGAACACTGGGCTCTACCGCCCTGTGTAGGAATTCTTGGTGGCTGCGGGATGCTACTTGGGCTCACCACTTCACCAGCTTGTACTGCACTTCTGGGACTCGCCACATTATTATTATGTATTAAATAGTGAAGCGCTCCCAAAATTACCTAAAAAAATTCCCTCTATGCATACCATGAATACCAACTGAACTTAAAAATAATCGATACCATAAGGTGATGAAAAGCATATAAACTAAGTCTATTAGTGAAAAACTAGAATACATAAACACCTCTCATATATACCAATTACTAATGCCTCATAATTAATCTGTGATGGAAAATAACGAATATAAAATTCATGATAAATACTCAAATATCAGTGATAAAATCAATTTTCATAATAATACTAATTAATAATAAAAAATGTGACAAATCGTGATAAAATTGTGACAAACCTATAGATCAAAATAAATAGTGATTCTTCAACAAAATATGTAATACATATATCCTGTGATAAACCCTATAACAGAATAAAATTAAGATTAAATAGATAGCTACTTAATTCAGTGAAAAAAATAAATGAACTCAGTGTCCAGAATAAACTCAAAAAGTCCATGCAAAATGTGAAAACACTCTGATCTTCACTTCTAGTGCTCAAAAAGGAATCCTCCAATGGCAGCAATGCCTGCTCACCTCCCCTCCTCGACCCACACAGGGCCACAAGGCAAAAAACCTCCTCAAAAGGCAATCCTTTACTCCAGGCAGCTCAGCAAGGGACCTCAGGACTTCCACTCCACCTCCTCTCAAACGTCATATAGGACACTAACTAACACTATAGAACGCCCATTCCCAGTTCGAGATCACGTCACTTCCGGTCACGTGGGGACGTTTGTCCGGACGCAGCGGCCATATTTGTTTCCCTCCCTGTATGAGAATACACCCATGATGTGAGGTGGAAAGCGCTGTATACAAGGATTACATGTGAGTGGGAAAAGTATGTTATGCCAAATTACTCCTAATAAACGGTATTACACTATGGGAAGCTTTTGTTTGTGTCCTATATGACGTTTGAGAGGAGGTGGAGTGGAAGTCCTGAGGTCCCTTGCTGAGCTGCCTGGAGTAAAGGATTGCCTTTTGAGGAGGTTTTTTGCCTTGTGGCCCTGTGTGGGTCGAGGAGGGGAGGTGAGCAGGCATTGCTGCCATTGGAGGATTCCTTTTTGAGCACTAGAAGTGAAGATCAGAGTGTTTTCACATTTTGCATGGACTTTTTGAGTTTATTCTGGACACTGAGTTCATTTATTTTTTCACTGAATTAAGTAGCTATCTATTTAATCTTAATTTTATTCTGTTATAGGGTTTATCACAGGATATATGTATTTTTGTTGAAGAATCACTATTTTTGACATTTGTATTTTGTTGAAGAATCACTATTTATTTTGATCTATAGGTTTGTCACATGAAATTTATCACGATTTGTCACATTTTTTTATTATTGAATTAGACTTAGACTAAGTTTTTTAATATGTTTTTATGTTTTTTCATCCTTATGGTATCGATTATTTTTAAGTTCAGTTGGTAGTCATGGTATGCATAGAGGGAATTTTTTTTAGGTAATTTGGGAGCGCTTCACTATTTAATACATGGTATTTACGACTTATTGGTTGAGGTTGAGTGATTGCAGCTGGTAGATAGGGACGTACCCATATCAAGCGCAGGAGGATATCCCCCCCCCTTGCCACATTATTATTATTTATTATACAGGATTTATATAGCGCCAACAGGTTGCTCAGCGCTTTGCAATATAACGGGAGACAATACAGCAACAATACAGTTCAATACAAGAGGGTTAGGGGGCCCAGCTCCTCGGAGCTTACAATCTGGGAGGGAGGGGCTAGTGGTACAAAAAGGTAGTAACTGTGGGGGATGAACTAGTAGGAAAAGTTGAAGACTCCATTACTAACTGAGGGCAGGATAGGCTTCCCTGAAGAGATAGGTTTTCAGAGATCGCCTAAAAGTGAGCAGAGTAGGCGATAGTCTGATAAATTGGGGTAGAGAGTTAGAGGATGGGGGAAGCTCTGGAGAAGTCCTGGAGACGAGCTTGGGAGGAGGAGACTAGGGAGCTAGAGAGCAGGAGGTCGTGCAAGTAGCAGAGAGTGATACTGCAGTGCTGGTATGAAAGACCAGGATGTACTAGGCTGCTGGTGCTCCAGTTCAACAAAAAGGTAATGTGGCACTAGTACGTTCCTAGCACTTCGGCTTCATGGGGTCAGGTACGCCTGACCTTAACATGAACCTTCTCTCCATCAGAGTTACCTGTTGAAGCGCCACTGCTTTATACAGGTTCACATTCTGAGGCAGATTCTGTCAGAGAGGCTTCCCCTTCGCTCTCATCCCAACATGCTCAGAACCGTGTAGGCCTCATCACTAATGTTCCTTTTTAGGGGAAATTTTGGGCTCTAAGTTTACAGCTACCTAGTGCGACTCATGGGAAAAAAAGCACCTGGCTGTCATGTACTGCTTGAACCACCACCAATAAAATTCACCTGATAGTGTTAGCAGAGATCAGGCCTGATTCTACCAACGCTGCAGTTGTGTGCAATGTATCACAGGTGACAGTGATCAGAAATGACACTGACACTGTACTCCTTGTTAGGCATGGAGGTATGAGGAGCATGGGGCTAAATGCAAGAGCTGGCAGCAAACAGAGCTGTTCCTGCCAACACTGCATTTTTGGGGACACTAATACTAAGGGGACACTGGTATAGAGTTCTGTTTGTGATCAATATATTGATCCATACTAACACTATACTAGTAATGACTGATCAGCGCTAGTGGCACCAATACACTGATCAGTGAAAAATACTGTACTAATGGCACTGGCAGGGTGGCAGGCGATCAAAGGGTTAAAAAGGTGTCTAATGTGTGGGTGCAAATGCACTGCTTTTACTCAGATCAGCAGAATCCCAGCCAAAAATCACTGGCTGAGACCTGCTGACATGCATCTCCTACAGCGATCCGTGCTCTAAACCCAGAAGAGTGAAGTGACATATGGTTATATGTCACTGGTCCTGCTGCTGCCGCCCATTCGCAGTACATTGTGGGTGGGCTGACCAAAACTGGATAAGTGCCATTACAATTAAATAGGATTGCCCCATGCGTCCCTGTCTGGAAGAAGCCAGGGAGAAGATCCCAGCAAGGAACCTCACAGGTGTTGGACCATTGGAGCAAAAAAAAAATAAGCATTTGTGCCTTTAGTTCTGTTTTAAGTTGGCTATACACAATTAGTAACCGCTTCCTCCATCCACACAAATGAGACGAATGGAGGAATCCCACCCCCTGCTGCAGTCCAAATACACTGGTCAGTGGCTGCAGCCACTGATCGATAAAAGGTTTCCAGCTTATCCATTCTATAGAAAATGATCCACCGATCGACTCAAACAGGGACAACCACACACTGATCCAAATTCAGCAGATCCCAGCTTTACAGTTATCAGAAGAACACTTGTCCCCATCAGATTTACTCTGACTTCTTACTTTGGATTTCGCCACCATTTTCAGACAGTGTCAATGCTCACCAGGACCAATAGAGCATGAATCTCCACTGGGAGCACGGATCACCATAGAAACTGACAAAACCCTTCCCCACATTGTTCACAAGTGTTTTCTTAACACACGTTACAATAATAATAAAAAATAAAAAAAAAAAAAAAATTGCATGGCATTAATTTATATAAAAAAAAGCACGTTATGAGGCTTCCAGTAATCATAAGCAAACAAAACAACAAACAACAACAGCACACCACATACTACTTACAATAAATTGACCGATTTCTATCTCTTCAAATCGTCCAGCAATTGCCATACCAGCACAATTCACCAACATATCAACAGGTCCTAGTTTTTCTTGAGCCTAAAAAAACATAACAATTAACTTGATTATGATGATTATTATTATATTATGTAATGCAGCAGGAAAAAAACAAAAATTTCTGGTCTTATACCAGACCCCTGTAGTGTTCTGCAGGCAGCCTGTAATGTGTGAATATGGATTACTGTGCTATGATGAGCAACTATGGCAGTTTGGGACTTTACAAGTTGAATTAGTGGGTGAAGCTACTCTCCAGGGTCCCACACACACAGGCTATGTCCAGCACAGCAATGATGTCACCACTGTTTTTTAGGTGATTTCTGCATCTGAAAATGTATTTGGTGCAACAAAAGGGATTTAAATCATTTTCAGTTAAAGAGGAATGCACTGTGTGCACAATTAGACAAGGGAGTTTGACCAAGTCATTTTAATGCATATTTTCAAACTCCAAGCTGTATAAACGTGAATCTCACCCTATATCAAGTTTTGCATAATTAGGCAGTTTTCCTCAGGCAAAATGGCTACAAAAAAAAAAAAAAAAAAAAACGACAAAGATTTAACCGACTCTAAAAAGTCAAAAATTGTAAAAAAAGCAATTTCGAGAGTGCTACATCCCTCTGAAAGACTAAGATATTGGAGCATGATCGCAGAACCATCAAAGTTTTGTTGCAAATAGTCAGGGTCGCAAGAAACTTGAGAGAGAGAAAAAAAAAAAAAAAAAAAAAAAAACATGAAGCTACCAGGAACCCATTATCCTCCAGTGCTGTTATATTCCAGAACTGCAACCTACCTGGAGTGCCCAGAAGTAAAAAGGTGTTCACTGCTCAGAGACATGGCCAAGGTGAGGAAAGCTAACCTGACCACCACTGAACAAGACACATAAGTTGAAATGTCAAGAATGAGCCAAGAAATATTTGAAGACAGATTTTGCAAAGGTTTTATGGACCGATGGATGAGATGAGAGTGACTCTTGACGGACCAGATGTATGAGCCTGTGGCTGGATCAGTAACAGGCAGAGCTCCACTTTGACTCAGATGCCAGCAAGGTGGACGGTGGAGACCTGGTATTAAAGATGAGCTAGGTGGACCTTTTCAGGTTGAAGATGGAATCCAAAACTGGCAGTTTTGGAGAGTTGATTTTAAGAAACTTTCTTCAAGCAGTGGTACAGGGGGAAGAGTCTGCATCTTTCAAAAAAGACCAGGATAGTTATGCAGGACAATGCTCCATTGTATGCATCAAGTACTCCACTGCGTGGCTGGCAAGTAAAGGCCTTAAAGATGAAAGAATAATTACATACCCCCCCACTTTCTCTTCTGACCTAAACCCTACTGAACTTGTGGGCCCTTAAATGGGAGATTTACAGTGAAGGAAAACAGTACATCTCTCTGAACAGTGTCTGGGAAGCTGATGCTGTAGCACAAACTTGATCAACAGATCAAGAAAACTGACGACTCCATGAATGGAAGGCTCATGACTTATTGAAAAGAGTGACTATATTGGGCACCAATTTTTTTTTTTTTTTTCGGTCAGAAAGGTTTATTTGTAAATTTAGTTGGTTTATTACTCACTTTAAGAGATGAAAAAACAAAAAACAAGATGAGAAAAGGTTTTCCATTTAGTTGCATAGTAATTCTGCACACCTATATTTGCTCAATAAATTGTGTACAGATAGATATTCCTCTAAGAAAGCCAAAACCCAACTCACTTTCTTAAATATTCAGGTTTGAAGTTCATGAACATTTTGCACTGTAGTTGTTCAATAATGAAATTAATCCTCAAAAATACAACTTGCCTAATTGCGCACAGTGTACATTTAAAATCTTTGTGACCATAGGCATTAAATATACATTAAAAATAGAAAACAAAAACAAAGCCATAACTGAAGGTAGAAGTAGTGACTAAGGCGGATTAGAAAAATTGGCCTACTGAAGTCTTTTTAAACCCCACTTCAGATGGTATAGTCACTATATTGCAGGAATGACATGCCATTTACCAAGGAAACCACTTTAAACTGTCAAGTCAAACTGAGCATAATTAGATGAGCTTGACATTTTACCTGTTTTATGACATTTTCTACTTGTCTATATTCTTTGGATACATCAACTGAGATGCACAATACTACCTAGTAGTAGAAAAAAAGAAAAGCATAAAAAACATCACTGTGTTTAAAAAGCGCTTCTTCCCTTAATGAATACAATCCTGGGAGAATACATGCATTACTCAGTATTTTTTCTACTGTAGCTGCTCATATTAAAGTAGAAGTGGGTTTTTACCACAAATATGTAAACCTCAAGATTTCCTATTAACATAGGAGGCTATTTGTCCATAAACATTGGCAAAGTTGAAAAATTAGGATAGGGTCACAGCCATATTTAAAGTGGAACTACAGCACCTGAGCACCACAAACTAAAAATGCTATTTAATTCACTTTTTAATATTCAAAGCAAACACACCCACCCATCCATGCTTTATTTTGTTGAGAAATCACTTTGAAACACTCCAAAGCATTTCTGACCATGGCCATCTTGAGTAAGGGCTGATGATTCATGTAGCATTTACTTCCTGGAATGCTCTTGCCCTTAAGCTCAGGAATGCAAGCAGGAGTGGATATGCTTAGCTGAGAAAGCCCCCTCTCTACTGAAGACTCCTGCGATGTATGACATTTGACTAGGCATGGAAACCAAGAAGTAACTGAAGAAATCAAGTAAATTATATATTTTCCTATCCATTTACTAATGCTAGCAGCATAAGAATTAAGTCAATGCTTATTGAGAGAGTGAAGTTCTGCTTTAAAAGGCATATCATGTTGCAGTTCACCAGCCCTTCTCAACTCCCCCCCCCCCCAATTCCCGGTAGATATAGCTATGTAACACATTAAAAATGAAGTGCCTATACTGTTTGAAATCGAGTAATAGACTCTCACCCTTTATTGCACATGCTCAGTTGCTCTATTTTTTAGGCACTGTGCTGATTTTGTAGAGGCCGATGTGCTGGCAACTTAAAGATTTAATGCAGGTCAGGACTCTGGGCTTCAGCAAAATGGCAGCCTCCAGCAGGAAGAATATAAAAATAGTGCTGAGGCAATTTTTACACCACATTCTTTTTGGGTAACTTTTTTTTATCAAGTTTGATTTGGTTAAAGTTCCACTTTAAAATAATTTACCAAAATTGTGTAAAATATTGCTTGTCTGCGAAAAAAAAAAAATAGTGCTGAGGCAATTTACACACATTCATTTTGGTAACTTTTTTTTTATCAAGTTGATATGGTAAAGTTCCACTTTAATAATTTACCAAAATTGGGTAAAATATTGCTTGTCTGCACTAACATTTTTTACTACATTTTTGCATTTGATAACTGGTCATGCTACAATCTTGTGACCAAATAAACAAATAGATCTTTTCTAAAAGCAGACAATGTTGAATGTTGATAGTTTCCTATTTTTTTGGCGGTTTTAACAAGTTTTTAGTCCCAAAATGTGCATTCTAACATGTGAAAAAAAAAAACAAAAAAAAAAAAAAACACAACAACCACCACACAGATCTGGCAGTGAAAGGGTTAATCAAAAAGTTTGGCTGGACGAGTCAGAGTGTAATTAACCACTTGAAGGCCATTTTTGCAGTTTTTAGCACTGGAAAAAACTAAAACAAAACCCCAAATAACACCATTCTCTTTTGGTGGTACTTGCAGCAGAACGTCACTCTCTCAATCACCAGTAACCATTATTAATACTACTGCTAGCATTAGTAGTGAGCTAGGAAAATATTATTTACTTGTTTTAAACTTTTTTTTTTTATATTTTACAATTCTTCAGTTACTTCCTGGTTTTCAGTCATGGGAAAATTAGGCAATACATCTCAGGAGTCTTCAGGAAGTGTTTTCTCAGCTAGGCACACCCTCTTGTCTGCATGCCTGAGATAAGGGCAGATTGATCCCAGGAAAAATGCTACATGAATCACCTGTCCTTACTCAAGATGGCCATAGCCAGAAATGCTAGGGGGCATTTTTCAAAGTGATTTCTCAACAAAATAAAGCATGGATGGAAGGGATTTTGAAAAGACTACTGAATTAATTTTTAATATTCAAAGCAGTTTGTGGCACTCAAATGAAATCTAGTTCTGCTGTAACTGCCACTGAGCACTGTTTTTTTTCCCCCCCACTAGAAAAAAAAACAAACACAAAAACAAAGTGTGAAATATTCAGATTGTGTAAAAGCTGGTGTCTACAAACAATTGCATATACTGTATATTTGAAATTTAAAATGCCAGGAGAGTACACACCCAAAATGACCTATTTCTTGGAAAGATATGTCAAGGTATGAATCATGCCACAATTCTTTGGAAAATTAAGTAAAATAAATATTTCTTTGTACACAGCACGGGCATTCTTACAATTACACCCCAAAACACATTCTACTCCTCCCTACTATGGGAATACCACATGTGTGAGACTTGCACTGTATAGATGCAAATAAAGGGACCATCAAAATCCATAAGTCAGACCATAAATAAGGCATCCGATTTCCTGGATACCCATTACACTGCTTGAGGCCCTGAATTGCCAGGACAGAAGAAACACCCCAAAAAAATTACCACATTTTGCAAAGTAGGCCCTTCAAGTATTAGTGGCACAGTATGTCTTTTGAAGATCACATTTTTGTCACATTTTAAGAAAATGACGGAAGAATATAATAAAAACAAAAAATAATTGGAAGGACGAAGAGATCACAGGGATTACCACTGCGCATGCTAGTAGGTGTGCGCATAAGTGGGACAACATTTTATTACATCCGCTCACCTGCAGGAATGAACCATCTGCCCATTGAGTAAAGCAGCTGGATGGCAAGTGATTAAACTTGCCACAGCCCATCTGAAGCAGAGCAATATTTAAAATATATTTAGTTATCCCTCTCATATTCTGAGAAGTGTCTCATATTCTGAGTAGTGTCTTTCAGTGTCAAAATACTCAAAAAAAAAAAAAAAAAAAAGTATAATTTCTTCATGTCCTTACCTGTTT